AAGGTTAAGAAATGAAAAGATCGCATGCAGCAGCTTTAAAACATATACTGAAACACGTTTCAGAGATTCCTAGTCGAAGGGGCTAAGCAGAACTACGGCACCCAACGGATGATTAGGAGACATCTACAAAACTGATTGGAGATACAACCTCGCTGTGATATGATCTGCTGTTTTATAGCACGAGTCAAGGAGTAGAAGTATCCTTTAAAATAAAAGAGAGAGAGAGAGAGAGAGAGAGAGAGAGAGAGAGAGAGAGAGAGAGAGATAGAGAGGAGAGAGAGAGAGAGAGAGAGGAGGGGAGAGAGAGAGAGAGAGAGAGAGAGAGAGAGAGAGAGAGAGAGAGAGATAGAGAGAGAGAGGAGAGAGAAGAGAGAGAGAGAGAGAGAGAGAGAGAGAGAGAGAGGAGAGAGAGAGAGAGAGAGAGAGAGAGAGAGAGAGAGAATGAGAGTGAGGGAGAGAGAGAAAGAGGGAGGGAGAGAGATAGAGGCCTTAATGTTGATTGTCTTTGAGCCAGCCAAGGTCATGCAGTTTATCAATGAGTTAATTGATTTTGCGATGGTTTAGGCTTTTCGTTGCTGTGGCGAGAGTGCTCCAAAATACTGTAGTAATTGGCCATAATACCATGACCATAGTGCTGTATAATGATCCGTCGCAGTTGAATATGCGGTGCGCTGTAGTTGGAACCGGGTCCAGAAAAGTGTCATTGATGATTGTTCGTAGTCTACTTCTGGCGAGCTTAAGGGACGCACAGTGTTCAGGTTGCTACATGATTTTCAAACAGCACGTTCTCCTGTGCAGTACACAGATACAGTTTTACATGCTCACGTGCTTGCCTTATCGGGATCATGAAATCGTAAAAGGAGTGGGCTTATGACTGACGGGAGATTGTGCATGTGAGCTTGCTCACATTAAGCCCCACTTTTGGCCGCACGATAGCAGATTTGATGACAGAAGTCCACTAATAACTATTGGTGTACTTTTAAGTAGAAAAGACTGCTCTAGACAATACAATTTCTCTGCTAAGTAAATATGCTTCACAGTGCGTCATTTCTTGCTTACGTCATCGTGCCCTGAACAAGATGGATTGAGAGTCAATCGACGGCCGTTATATCTGTAAATCGTGCTCACGAACGTCATATATGAACGAAACCACAATTATATTTTCGTAGCCTCGATCGCCGCGTGGCTGATGGAATGGCAGCATTTGAATGACGTTATTTTGGCGTCGGGGATGCCTGGGTGACCTTGGAGTTGTCTCTCCCCGAAAAAGGCTGCACATCTTCGCGGGCGTATAGCTCAGAAACTAAAGGGGATTAGGTCTTAGGAAGGACACGGCTGTAGACTGCACTGAGTGATCTTCAAGACTGCCATTTCAGTTAAAAACGCCATATGAAGGTGCAACACCACCTTGAATGTCATTTGCATATCATCAGCGCAATTTCTAACGTTGATGAGGCAACCCAAGCACTTAAGGTGTGAAAAATTAAAAAAGATAGCTGTAAGGTGATGCATTTGGGTAGTTCTAGCAATGAGAGCATAAGTTATATAGTGGGAGGCCAATATTTAGACCAGAGCGAGGAAGAAAGTGACTTAAGGGTTATAGTTTCTGGGGATTGAATGGGTGAAAAACAATGTTGGACTGCTAGGAGCAAGACATTTCGGATGCTGGGACTTATTAAAAGAAAATGTTCATTACAAGGGCAAGAATGTTGTCAGAACGTTGTACTTAGCTCACGTCAGGCCACATCGGGAGTATTGTGTACAGGTTTGAGCCCCATGCTTCCAAAAATATATAGATCGACTGGAAAGAGTGTGACAAAAAGTAGCTAGGATGATAAATCGGATTAGTGACTTAGAATATACGGATAGGTTCAGGGCCTTGGATTTGTGTTCACTGAAATATCGTATACTTAGAGGAATCTGATGGAAGTATACAAGATTATGAAAGGAATAGAGAGGGTGGATCTTCATGGAGCAGTGGAAATTAGGCCGAGACATAGAGGAAGCCAGTTTCATTTAGCAAAAGGAAGGAGAAGAACTATGAAGACGCAGATGCCATTTAGTTAAAGGGTAGTGGACCATTGGAATGTATTGACAACAAAAATGTTAGAAGTCCCTCTCTAGCAACATTCAAAAACCATTTAGACAAGTTCTATGGGTTTAAAGATCTCCTCTATAGCTAGATGCATGCAGATTAGGTGGTACGATCAGTTTCGAGGATGTGTACAGGATCTCCCTACCTCCAACCGACCTCGTAGGCCAACGTCGATGGGCCATTGTGGCCATATTGGCCAAATATCTTTCATATCTATATGTCTTTGTGCCTTAAAATGCTCCGAAACGCCGAGGCTATAACATTTTTATCATTTTGTATGAAATGGGCTTAGAAATCATCACGTTCATGCACGTTTAGCATAAAGTATCCTGTTGTCCTTCCCAATTTCAAGAAACCCCAAGACGTGATCGAGTCACCGGGTGATCGTCACATCGCGTGCGATTAATGCGCGAGCTCTATGTGGGCTCGATACGACTGGGCTGCCATCTAGCGTTGGTCAGGGGATCAGAGGCGACAAGGATCTGAAAGCGCTGGCTTAGGAGACAGAGACAGGAGGTCAGAAGCAGGGGAGACTGCGCAGCGACCCGGAAGGTACCCGAGTATTCCGATTGTACCCAAGTGGGACGTTCGGCAGGGCAGGCAGGTCGTGGATGTAAACCAGGCAAGACTGGCCTGGAAAATGTATTAACAAAAACAGCGGGTCTTCCTGAAATATAGGTGGGCTCAGCTGTGGTCATCGGTATACCAAAGCTAGACTTAGGTGAGCTAGACCAGCCCAATATTTATGCCGTCATCGTTAAACAGAGGTGGGATTAGCACAAACTGAGTAAAACTTACGGACCATCAAGGGATGGTTTGGAAATAAAGTAATCAGCCACATCTGCATATGCCCAGGCGATGCGAATGATGGGCACAGCCGAATCCTGCGACAGGTGTTTCGAGAAAAGTCCTGTCACCAACGCAGTCCTCTGGTCGTGCACACGGCGCGCGGCGACACTCGGGCTTTGTTGGCAGAGTGATGGAATCAGAAAAAAAAACATTTTTGTTGTGATTAAGGGGAAAACCAGACCAAGTAAATGGTGGACAGGAAAACAAAGGAATGAAGAAAATATATTTATTCTCAGTCCAGCAGCCCAAACTTCACAGGACCGAGCATCTCACCGCCTGAGGCGGTCGCCGACTGATCTCAGCTCCTCGATGGTCGTAAAGGCCAGACGGTCCTATTGATGATGAGGTGCCTCTATAGCCGTGAAGGCCAGACGGTTCTATTGATGATGAGGTTCCCCAATGGCCGTGAAGACCAGACAGATTTTCTGATGATAAGGTGTCTCCATGGCGAGGAAAACCGAAACCGACTAGCCTTGTCTCGTGTATAGAGGTGGTCCGGTCTCCCGCGCCTTGCTTGTAAGACACGGGATTCGGGTTACGTCCCTCCGATAACTCATGGCGACGCCGCGGCCGCCTTCTCCGCACGTCCACCGATGACAGCTGATGCATCGCGGGGTCTCCGAATACTGGACTAGGATTCAGCCAGTTCAGTCACAGAGTCGGATTCACTGCTGTCACCACCACTGCACCAACGTAGATCGCTGCTCAGCACCGCCGTCAGAAGCACTGCCGCTTACTTGGTTCGAAAACCTCAGTCCGCAGCGAGCATGGTTGAACTGGCGACCATCCCTGACACGCCGAACCGTCCGAAGCGCAGCGTTCAAATGAGGTCGAGGCCTGTGGCGCCGGCCTGGGGTACCCTCGCGTGCATCTTCTCGGCAACCAATTACCAGTCTGCGCTCCCCGCCTCGGACCGGATCAGACATCGCCCCAGGCGAACGCCGCCTGACCGTGACGCAGCGGACACGAGCCGCCGATCGCGACCCGTCGGTCACTGTCCTTTTTCGGAGGACAGGGTCTCAGACATTACGCTTGCCGCGCTGTTAGTAAGCGGTGAGGTGCCAAGCATTAACAGTGTCCGAAAGGCAGAAGTAATTACTCTTCGGAGTGTCAACTCTCATCAGCTTGCATAAAGAAGTTGTCAGCACAACCGAGGATGCAACATGTGTTGCGTGTGAGAATTCAGAAAGGAAAGCGTTGTTATGGGCATGCCTTGTTCTATCCAAAAAAAAACAGTGCATGTGCGCAATGTGCGTATCTTGTTGGAGATGCTCACGCCGACGCTCCTCGATAAAAATAGTTTCTTTGTGGTCCAGGCAAGCTCAAAATGACTGATTACACATGAAAGCACCGTAGTGAAAATTGGCCCTCGATTTCAAGCAATTTGTCCGATAGAATATGCCCCAAAACCTTTGATATATTCGAAAATAATATATTGTAGAAGTGGCGTGCAAATGTTTCAGTACTTGAACACCTGAAAACCGCAAGTCGCCCACAGAAGAAAGGCTTCATTGTGGCCTTCAGCATGATTTATTCCCGACTGTCTGGTCAGGAAGCCGGCCTGACCACAAGATCTCCTTGGTTTTGCATAAAATGCCGGCCAGTTAGTGGAGTCAACTCGGTAAATGTTTAAATAAGTGTTTTGTTTTGGATGTTGAAAGGAGGGAGGGGCAGTCGTTTCATGGAACGCCTGGAGCTTCCAGTAAAAAGGGGCAACATTGTGCGCAAGCGTTAGTGGGATGCCAGGTATTCCATAGGGCGATTTCCGGCGTTAGCAGTAAACCATTGTCCTTTTTTGACGATCCTTCCCACGGCAAATGCCTACGACAATCTATGTGATGAGGATTGCGTGGGCTTCGGTAAGTACATACGTGAAATCGTTGCCATTAAAGGCAAAGTCATTCAAGTTAAGAGGGCTTCGAAGAACTCTCATGACATCACAGCCCAGCCACTTCAAATGAAGAGACCTAGGCGCAGCCCGATAGGAGCACGATAAGACAAAAGGCTGCGACCCGGGAACAAAATGGCACATGAGCTCTGCCCGCCCGTCAGACGAGCACCGCGCTGTGTCTGAGGAGCCAGCATGGTGGGCCTGCGCCTGGTGCTGGTGGCGGCCCTCTGTGTGGCTCGGACCAGCGGCACCGACTACGGGGACCTCGTGCACCTGCACGGAAACGGCTGGCCCCTGGTGGACCTGTGGTCGAGACTGCTGTACGCCCGACGGGAGTTTGACCACCAAACACCTGCAGCGCACGGCCAGTCCAATCCGCAACAGACTGGCAAGCACAGCGGAGGTGAGTGGAAAAATGTCGAAAAAAAGAAAAATGGAAAGATGCACGCCTATGGAGTCTCACAAGAGTTCAGCTCGTGCTCTGCAACAAATAGGACTCAGTGAAATCTTCGCACCAAATTTCAAAGATATTATGAGTGGGTGAAGTAGTGAAATTGTTGCCACAAAATGATTTCATACTTAGAAAGGCAGAACTATATAAGGAGTTTTAAAAGTGCAATGAGAAATTCAGCTCTAAGGGCTCCGTCAGTTGGTCCAATGTTCTTGTCAATGGTATGATAACGCACAACGTCTTCGTCTTCGTTATTCTAGTCGATGTCGACAGTAGATAACTGCTTCGATGTTTGAGCCCACTAACTTTCGAGCAGTAGACTGACACTCGCAACCAACAGACCATTAATGAGAACGTTCTCTACGGTGGTCTAATGAGCAGACTGACACTCGCAACCAACAGACCATCAATGAGAACGTTCTCTACGGTGGTCTAATGAGCAGAACATCAGGCCAATACACGCAAAATTGTGGGGTTAACCTTGCAACTACGAGGAACTACCCGATTTGAGACATGCAGTGCATCGCACCATGAGCTCTCAGATCATTTGCAAGGTCAATTAACTTCCCATAGCAGTCGAAGAAGACCGGTTCAAGTGTTTTGTACACCGCTATCGACGTCACGCATTATCCAAGTGATGCAGTTCATATGTAGTGATTCCTTGTTGTAAGGATTCGGTAACTATAACGTGCATCCGTGCAAAATGTTATCGTCGGAGCTGAGACCGCACCGAAAAATTCTTCCGAGCGCTTTAACGACGGTGCTGCACAAAAACCTAATGAAGCCTATTTAACTTTATACAACAGTCATCATGCTGCTCTCATTTTGTTGTAGTCAAAACGTTAGCATTCAAAACGGAAACCCTCTCATTTTCAGATCTGCCGGTTCGACTGGAGCTGGAGACGGATGTCGACATTCATGAGCCGTCCCACCCTGACCTGGGGCTGGGTCCCGACCTCCAGGACCAGGCGATCGCGGAGGCAGTCGGTCCGTACATCACGCCGATCGCCAACCCCGATGCCAGCGCGGCTTGCCTGGAGGACAGTATAGCGTACCTGAACCACATCACCAAAGAACAATGGGCCATGCGGATGTTTGACTCTACAGGCAAGATGCCTGATGGCATTCTGGAGGGCAATGTAAACCCGATGGGCAACTGGGACGAATGTCTCAACACCACAGCGTCCTTCAACGACAAGAGCTTCATCGGGAAGTACTGTATGGCGTCTCTCTTCAAGTCGGGCGAGTCGACCAGCCGCAGCCACCTGCTGCGGCGAACAGCTCCGGTAGCCAACCTGGATGTGGCCCCGATCCTGCCCGCACTTCCGGACGGAACGGAAGCCACTGTGGGTGTGTGCATACCGTCCACCTGCACTGCCGAGGAGCTCACCCTGGGACTTGACATCGCGCTACGGCGGCAGAAAGTTAGTGCATATATTCCCGATTACCTGTGTTACACCAGGGAGGACAAGACGGAACTCACGACCGCCGCCATCGTCATGATCGTCATTCTGTCCCTGACCGGACTGTGCATGGTGATCGGTACGGTAGTGGACCTCATTGCTGTGCAAGCCGAGGACGGACCAGACTCTGCCTGGTCAGCCATCGATGCGGCAGCTCGGTGGATTCTACCTCCCACCATTCGACGCGTTTTCCTCGCGTTCTCCGTCTACACCAACGGACGCAAGCTTCTGGATACCTCCTCCACCAAGGACACGATAAACTGTTTACATGGAATACGCTTCCTCTCCAACACCTGGGTCATCCTCGGACACAATTATGCATTTGTTACTACATTCAAAAGTCAGAACATCCTCAAACTGTATTCCTATCAAAACGACCTTGCCTTCCAGGTGATCGCTAACGCAACGGTGTCAGTTGATTCCTTCTTTTTCCTGAGTGGCCTGTTGGTGGCGTACATCGCTTCGCGCAACATTGAAAGAGCCCGCGGCAGATTCAACATCATCATGTTTTATGTACATCGCTACATCCGTCTGACGCCGGTCATGATGATGATCATCGGATTCATAGCCACTTTATACGTATATCTGGGTTCAGGACCGATGTGGGGATATGCAGGTCTGGGAACTCCAAAAGACTGTCAAGACTACTGGTGGTGGAATCTGTTGTATATTAGCAATCTGAAAGATATGGACGTCCAGTGCTTGGGGCAGACCTGGTACCTGGCCAACGACATGCAGATGTTCATTTTCTCTCCGCTGGTCCTGCTCCCGCTGTACCACTGGCCTGTTGTAGGTCAGCTGTGGCTCATCTTCCTCGTCTGTTTCTTCACCGGTATCAACGCCATGATTACAGCGATCCACAAGCTAGGGCCAGATGGACCTGTGCCTGGAGGGGACGACTTCGACCTGCGCTACATGAAGCCGTGGACAAGGGCTGGACCTTACTTGGTGGGGCTGTATATGGGGTGGATTCTGCACAAGATTCGCGGCCGCAAGATCCGCCTTCCAGCGCCTGTAGTCGCCATCGGCTGGATCACGGCTTCCCTCACCGGATGCCTCATTGTTTACGGCATGTTCGACTACGACAGAGTTGATGCTGGACATGCGGACCCATCCAAAACCACCAGCATAGTGTACGCCATGCTGAACCGCACCGCCTGGAGCGTCTGCTTGGCCTGGGTGGTGTTTGCCTGCGTCACTGGATACGGCGGAATCGTCGACACCCTTCTCTCATGGAAAGCCTTCATTCCACTGAGCCGGCTGACCTACACTTCCTACCTCGTGTCTATCGATGTTCAACTTTACTACTGGTTCACAAACAAGTCAGCTATGTACTTGGACCAAACGCTCTTAGTCTACGTGTTTCTTGGCTCACTGCCGGTGATCTTCACTGTCGCTGCCATTTTCTCCCTGGCGTTCGAGTCACCAATGATAGCGTTGGAGAAGATCATCTTCCCCCAGCCGCCCAGGGCGGCATCCCCCGCTCCTCCTCAGCACACGGGTACCGAGCCTGGGACAGAGGCGGCCGTGCCGGGTCAAAACGGCAAGATCAACGCAGGCGTTGAGGAAGATGTCGGCGCGCCACAAACAGAGCACACGCAGCCGTACTCTCTCGTGAACAAGGAGTCAACTGGGCAGGTCGAAGCAATCAGCAAACTGACTACACTAGTAGCAACACCGGACTACCCCACCGTATAATGATTATATACTGATCCGCAGCATGATCCGCACGCCGCACAAGTCGGAGTCAGTCATATGGGATGCCAACTGAACAATTTAAAAGAAATACATGCGGCCTTAATTTGGGTTCCTTAGTTCAATTTTGCAGTTTTATCTTCATGAATATGTTTGTGTTTGCAAGCCTGTCTCTAAGGTATGTATGTATGCTTATTCTTGTTCAATAAAAATATAACGTATGAAACATGACTGCTTATTTCAGTGCGTTCTCGAATGATATAGCACAACTTCATCAAGCCAGGACATTAGCGCGGGACGGGACAACGAATTGCATCGATGCTTGTGATGTCTACGCTGACGTATGACAGTTTGGGCCAGAAGTGAAGACATTGCCACATGCTGCTGCTTTATTTTGTTTGCTCTTATTTGTCTAAACAGCTGCTTAGACTATCGTCTGCCTCAGATTGCTTGTAAACGTTGCTGCCCTAACAGGTTCGTTGTTTTCATTCGCATGAAATACTTTACAATGTGCTTTCTGGACATTTATTTAGAAACAAAGCAAATAACTGAAATATTCGTATGGGTGTACCAAATAAAAAGGAAAGTTTCTGTTGAAAGCAGTGACGGCTATGGTGTGCTACATACACCGTGGTAAGCATCAGGTGACTTCTACAGAAGAGAACGTGCATATATGACCAAGCATAAAAAGCGCTGAGAGCAAACTGATGCAATGCCAATATGGTGCCGATCTTTAAAAAGAGAACCAAAATATGTGTCAGCAATTACAGGCCTGTCGGTCTAACCTCACTAATATGCTAGATCTTGGATAAATTCATTACGGCTAGCATTCAGTCAAACTCAGCAGTGGCAAAACTTGCCGACTTGCTGGATAAGGTTGACGGCAAAATGTCTATTTTCATGCGACGCTTGGTGCGAAAAATGCTTTTGGCCAGCAGTTTTCGTGACGGCCACAACAAAACATTACCGAGGGTATTCCACAACCTTACATGGGCTTCACTGGTAATACATTTCACCACACAACACCAGCAAGCCTTTGCGTAAATACTCTTTACCGTACCCTCCGGCCCTATCGTATCTATGTCAGGCTTCATCCCATCCCAGCGACAAAAATATCCTATGATTTTGGTCGGTCGCTTACTTTGGTGACAAATCGACGACAAATCATTCGCATTTAACTGCTCCTTGTTTTTCCAACGTGGATGATCTGCAGTGTTTTCATTATACCTATTTGTCCAAATGCTAGCACTACGAAAGCTTGAAACAATTCGCAGAGGAAAAAAACTGCAAAACTGCAAAAACTGCATGATGGTATTATCCTACGAACTCAACGAAATGTTACACTACGGCTTTGGTTTCTCCCGTATGGCGTTTACCACAGTGGCCCTTTTCGAGGCGCACTTTGCCTTGGAAATGGGATTATTACATGATAGCCACGCACTGGCTCAAATTTCAACCAAAGCGCTTCTTGGTAACTTGCTCTAGGGGTGAAAAGTGCCTTTTTTGTCACCGACGAAACTTGGAGCAGCCTAAATGGTCACCTGGAGTCATGTTTACCTGAAGCAATTGCAATGTAACTTTAAAGGCGCTAAACCACGCAAAACAGGGATAAATCAAGTGCAATGCATTATAAACATCAAAGTTGGGACGATTTCGGACGTTTTTTTAACGAAATTTTCATTTGCTGGCCGTGCCTTAGGTCCCGGTGGTTAGGACCCTAGTCTCAGTGCACGAGTGGCTGGCGCAGCTGGCTTAAGGCCAATGAGCACGCTAGTTCGGCTCAAACCTAGGCGTTGCATGTACGGAGAAAGGCAAGAGCATGTATAGTCAGCGCCCGTATCCAGGCCATATGTGGCAAGTAACAAACCCTATGCGCTATTCCACGTCATACCGGGGTCATACCAGTGTTGGAAAAAGATTTCTCGCAGGGTTTAATCAATCCACAAAAATACACATCCACCGCATTTTTATCAGATCGTACACTCTTCCTAACGTGGGATACATTTTCTAAGCTCAGAATTACTACGTTGTTGCATATCATACCTATGGTGTGTGTCTAAAACTGCAGTATCAAACGAAATCCCACAGCTTTTCATGGTTACCAAATTCATTCAGATTCCTAGCCTTCACAATTCACGTCTGGGAAATATTTCCTCCCTAATCCATAACCACCAACCAGAAATCCAACTCTGGATATTGGGTACCCCATGTAATGGTCTGGGTTTGAAGGGCAGGGTCAATATATGTGTAAAAAGCCGTGTTCAGCGTCGTTTGTTGATTATTTCGGATTTCAGATGATGCGACCACTTCGTCATGTGACAATCCTGTTAAAAATTGTCGTTCCAGCATCGCTCATGGAACAAAATCGCGACGTTTTAACTAGCATTTCGGTAGCTTATATAGCTTGATCGCACATAGCGCTATTAAGTTGTAATCATTTGTAGGAACGATGGGTTGGTAATGTTCTTCAAGCAAAACGAAATATGTTTAAGACACATATCTCCACCCCTCGATATAGGTATGTGACACCCACTTACAATATCATCCCAGAAACATTTCAGCAAAAAAAAAACACTTACATCAAGCTTGCTGATGCTTTATTAATCTATCACGTAGCGTAACAATTACCGGAGTGGCGATCATCTTGCAACACAATGTGTTCGGAGAGAGGGGAATGTCCCTATCACCGTTGCCATTCAGTGTCACATGCAGTGTAGTTCTCGGCCACCACACTGCCGGCGCACTGGCAGTGCACACGGATATCTGACGCGCTTTTTTAGCGCCATCCAACTGGAAAGTTGCCCTGATCATTTTGTCTGTCGAAGTCTGAAAAGGCCGCGGTAGAATCAGCCAAAGCCAAACCGACTATGACATTTATCACGATGGAGCTGTCAGACAGATACCTAAGGTATTACGAAATATTAAATGTACAAAAATATGGGGTAAGGGACAAAACCCCTGGTTTATCGCGATGGCTGTCAAAATGTGTACAACCATTACTCCACTGACGCTTATGCTAGCTGTTCAGCGCATTAGCAAGGAACATTATTCACATGTATAAGACAGTGTTGTTAGCATTATTCCTGAGCAGAGAAAACAGGAGAATAGAGATGCAGTTGGTTTGATATTTCGGCAACACGCCTTTATCGAAACAATAGCAGAAGTGAACTTTTAATGGCCTGCAGATGATCTCACTCGATTTTTCAGGTTTCCTTTTGAAACAGTAAGCCACAGTTTTTACAGGACACCAACATTCAGGGGATTAAACAAAGAGCGATTGCCAGCGATTACCACCATACGGTGCCTATCTAAGAATTAGAACACGCTAAAATGCGTGTCCATACAAACGAATTCAAGCAAATAGGCGTCACTCATTACACTTCATTCAAACATGTAAGCGAGTTGAAGTTAACAGATATCATCTATCGTGCATCAGTTATGCATGCAAACGATTTCAGCTGAACAGGCATCGCACATCACGCGTCAGACATCACTTATAGCCGATACAGGACAGTAGCTTGCTACTTTTTTAAAACCTGAAAAACCGAGTAGGGTCATCGGCCAGTAATTTTGCATTCACTTTTGCTGTTGTTTTGATAAAGGCATGGTACCGAAATATCAACGCAACTATAACTCTATTCTCCTGGTTTTTCTACGACGAATAAGACTAATACTTCAGTGACGCTTATGTTTCACCGCCATGCCTCCATAGCGTGGCGGTTTGTTGTGTTGTCATTTACGTTTGCAGTGCCTAATGATTTGATCCCATGGTGCCAAGCCAGAAAGCATCGAATCACAAACAGGCATGTGATTTCACAACCAAAACGCTTCCGGAATAAAATTCACCAACTATTAATTAGAGTCTTAACAGACAGCATCTTTCGTCGAGACGTCAGTTCGATGGAAGTAACGACAATAATACGTTTTAGCCTAGTCTTTCCGACATGTTAACCATATTCGATTTCATAACGAATTAGGTCACTGTTAAAAAGTCACCTCGTGTGAAAATGGTTTTTGAATACCTTGCAAATGCGGCTGGTGTGCTTCGGGCAAATGTTTTGCCGCGCACCTATCCGCTGCACCGAGCTGCTGTCGGTCGAAGGCATGAGCTGGTTAGCCATGCCAGCTCGACTTTCCAAAGCGCACTGGAAACACAATAGTAAGAACCTTGACACGAGATAAAGATGAGCTGTTGTCCATACTTACTGGTCGTCGTTGACACTATCGCGGAATATCGATTGCTCACGTTGCTGTATCTGCTAATCTCTTTCAAGGATCGGCATGGAAATGACCTATATATAATCGTAGACCCATGATGCTGAAACCCGTGCGAACAGACTTCATCAAGCATTCGGAAGTATGATTTCCTGGTGAGCTGCCGTCTTTGCCACCACGTGATTTGCCGCCACCTGGTGGTGGAGAGTGGAAGCCATCTAGCGCCGTCAGCAGAGACTGCAACGCCGCGTAGCGATGTGTTTGCGCTTGAAGACATCGCCATGAATAAGGCAGTGAAGGCGACGTGTTCGCGCTATTGCAGGGCACGCGCGCGTCATACTCTATGCATGAGCAAGTTTGTTCACTGTCAGCACACCCTAATGAACAAGCGTGTGTTCACCACCACTTTAGATAGAAGGGAAACACCAGCAGATCAGGCCGCCGGACCGCAGGGTCGGATGCTCGGAAAACGGCTGGAGGATAATACAAAACGAAACCGGTACACATGGTTGGTGGGTCCTCCGCGGAAATTCGAAACCCGTATGAAAAAACAAAAATGCCTGTGACAAGCTACTGCAGAAGCTTAAAACCTTCAACAAAATGGCATGAAACGGGGGAGTCGTGCCACCAGAACTACAGATGCGTTCAAACTTCCAGCCCGACCAGCCCAGTGACAAAACGGGCGAAAATGCTTGTAATCGAACAGGTGCAGTGGGGCCTCCCACTGGCGGACATCGTGCTAATCGTGTGCCGTCGACTGCCAAATATGGTCATGGCGGCTCCGACCGGCACCAGCTAATCTCATCCGATGGATAGTGGCGACGATGCGGGCCGGCCCTTACATAGAAAATCCAATGGTACTAACAGCCGGTTATCGGGGAAACTGCACAACGATCCCTGGCGCAGCACCCCTTCATCGGCAGCCGGCTGTATGAGAAACTGCATAACGATCTCTGGCGCGGCGCCCCCCCCCCCCCCCTTCCAATCGGCAGCCGGCTGTATGGGAAACTGCATAACGATCTCTGGCGCGGCACCCATCCATTGGCAGCCGGATTGGACCACAGCACAGGGGAGCGACTCAGTCCGTT